GCAACAATTATGATAATAATAATATAATATAAGAACAAAAAAAAACAATCAAATGGTAATGATAATTGTAATGATTATAACGACAATGATGATTAATAAAACTGGAGACGAGAGAGAGAAAGCGAGAGCGAGAGATAGATAGATAGAGAGAAAGATATTTATAATATATATATATATATATATATATATATATATATAGAGAGAGAGAGAGAGAGAGAGAGAGAGAGAGAGAGAGAGAGAGAGAGAGAGAGAGAGAGGGAGAGGGAGAGGGAGAGGGAGAGGGAGAGGGAGAGGGAGAGGGACGAGGGAGAGGGAGAGAGAGAGAGAGACAGAGAGACAGGAGAGAGAGAGAGAGATAAGCACATCAGAACTTATTATCCTTAAGGTAACTAACTATAAGACACTCAAATACACCATATTGACAGTAATAACAATAATGATAATAATGATGATAATGATACTGATGATGATAACTAAAGTAATAATAATAGCGACGATGATGGTGATAACAATGATGATCATAATAATAATGATCATGATAATGATTATAGTAAGGATAATGGCAATGAGGATATCGGTAGTAATAATGATAATGATAACAATGACTATGATGATAATTATAATATAATAATGATCATGATAATAAAATGATAATAACAACAACAACAATAATAATAATAATAATGATAATAGTAATAGAAATAATGATAATGACAATGATAGTAATAATAATAATAGCTAATGATAACAGTAATGATAACAATAATAGAAATAAAAAGATTGTAATAATAATAGTAATGCTAAAACAATGGTAATGATGACAATGATATTCATAATGATTACTGAAATAATAGTAACGGTAATGGCAATAGTAATGATGATAGTGATAATGATAATGATACTAATAACATTAATTCTGATAATAACAATGGTAATAATGATGATGGTAATTATGATTGTAATGATGACAGAGGTAATGATAGTAAAGAGGATAATAGTAATGACACTGATAGCAATAATGATATTGATGATAATGATAATGATAACAGAAATAATGATAACCGTAATAGAAATAAGAATAATGATGGTAGTAATAATATGGTAGTAATAATGATAATAATGATTATATCAATAATAATTATTATGATAATTATCGATGATAATGATAAGATTAATGATAATTGTAATGATAATATTGTCAATGATAGTAATATTAATGAATAATAAATGATAATGATAACGACATTATTATTATCATCCAATATACTGATAAGAATATTAGAAGTAATAAGAATAATGATGATAAGGATGATGGTAATAATGATAATAATAATAATGATAGTAATGATAAAAATGATAAAAAATAGTGATGATAATAATAATGATAATGATAATGATAGTAATAATAATAGTAATAATAATGATAATGATAATAATAATGATTGAATAATTGTAATGAAATAATAATGACAATAATAATGATAATAATAATAATAATAATAATAATAATAATAATAATAATAATAATAATAATAATGATAATGATGATGGTGGTAATAATAATGATGATAATCATAACAAGTTCAACAACAATAACAGTCATAATAATAATGATAACAATGATAATAAAGATTATAATAATAACATTAATGAAAATGATATCAATAATATAAATCATAATAATGCCAATGATGTAGTTAATAATATTAAAAGGAATGATAAAAGTAATGACGATAATAGCAACCAACGATATAGACGCTAATAAATACCATAGTATAGACAACGAAAGAAAACAAAAGACGATCTGTGAACCCATTAAAAGGAATTCAATCGGAGAGTTCAAACAAATCGTTCCATATATTTTCTAACAGGATATGAAAGCCAATGGAACAAAGGGGTGTAGGTGGTGTAAGCTTTTTAACAGCGAGGAAATATTTTCTGTGATTGGTTGCCAGGTTGAGATGAGGGGAAAGATGTATTAGAGAGGGGAAATTATGATATGTTTACGTCTGTGTGTATTAGGTGGAATTAAGATTGATAAAATTTGATCAGTTAGTTGGTGATATGCTCATGTGTGTATGCTTGTTGGTTTGTCTGTGTCTCTTTCTTTGTCTCTGTCTGTCTGTCTGTCCTCTCTCTCTCTTTCTCTCTCTCGTCTCTCTCTCTCTCTCTCTCTCTCTCTCTCTCTCTCTCTCTCTCTCTCTCTCTCTCTCTCTCCTCTTCTCTCTCTCTCTCTCTCTCTCTCTCTCTCTCTCTTCACTCTCTCTCTCTCTCTCCTCCTCCCTCTTCTCTCTCTCTCTCTCTCGTCCTCCCTCACCTCCCTCATCCTCCCCTCCTCTCTCTCCCTCCTCCCTGCCCTCCCTCACCTTCCCTTCCCTCTCCATCCTCCCTCCCTTCCGGTCATCCTCCGTCTCTCTCCATCTATGCATATATGAAATAAAACCAAGCTGCCCCTTATGTCTTCCTAAGCCCCCGTCACAACAATGGCGGGAAAGACGATTATTCAATAGCTGGCTGGCTAGTTTGTTTACGATCGGAATTGGTTCGTCACAGAGTTGATATTCTCGAATAATTAATGATGTGACCCCCCCCCTCCCCCTCCCTCCTCTCTCCTCTCTCTTCGACTGACATTCCGGGTTGTGAAGCTGGTGACCGCTACGTGTCATCTCTCTTTCCCCTCTCTTTCTGGTTCGCTCCCGTGCTCGCTCTCTCTTCGCTCTCTTTCTCTCACCCCAACCCTCCTCTTTCTCTCTCTTTCTGGTTCGCTCGCGCTCTTCTCTCTCCTCTCTTCGCTTCTTTCTCTCCCCCACCCTCTCTCTTTCTAGTTCGCTCCGCGCTCTCTCTCTCGCTTCTTTCTCTCACCCCACCCCCTCTCTCTTTTCTGTCTGTCTCACATCTCTCTCTCTCTACGTATCTATTCTATATCTATATCTTTCTCACTCTCCTTCACTCTCTCTCTCTCTCTCTCTCTCTCTCTCTCTCTCTCTCTCTCTCTCTCTCTCTCTCTCTCTCTCTCTCTCTCTCTCTCTTCTCCTCTCTCTCTCTCTCTCTCTCTCTCTCTCTCTAGCGAGCTATCTGTCTGTCTTCGTGTACGTTATTTATTGTTCTGTATGTTTATATGTTTATGCATATATTTCCATCTTTCTTCGTTGAGATGTCTTTGCTATACATTCCTTCCTTCTTTTTTATTACAACGTCTGTCTCTCCTGTCTTTTAATTCTCTCTATCTCTCTCTCTCTCTCCTCTCTCTCTCTCTCTCTCCTCTCTCTCTCTTCTCCTCTCTCTCTCTCTGTCTCTCTCTCTCTCTCTCTCTCTCACCCTCGCTATCTTTACATTCTCTTTTTCTATCTGTCTCTCATTCTCTCGCACTCCATTAATTATAATATTAGTATTTTCATGATTATTAATATAATCAAGTTTTCCTTCCATTTATGACCTTTTTCTTTGTCTGTTCAATTACATTTTTTAGCAAGTTATCAAGTCCATTCCACACTTCCCGCCTCACAAATTCATCATTTTTCTTTCATTCTCGCGCATCTCCTCTTTATCCCTTCTCTCTTCTCTTTCCTCTCCCCTTCACCTGTACCCTTCCGCGTTTAAATAGTTCATTCCTTTTTACTTCTCCTCTCCTCTCTTATCCCACTTCTTCTTTTGTTTTATTGGTTCCATACTTTTTCTCCTTCTTTCTCCTCTCGTCCATCCTCGGTTTTTTCTCTCTTCTCAAAACAACACTCCAACCTCCATCCCTACTTCCCATCAGAAGACTTTTATTTATTTTAGCTTCTTGTTTCCCTCAACTTTAATTTTCTTTGTGCTTCCCCTCTTTTCCATGCTCCCCCCGCTCCCCACTTTCCTTCCTTTTCTCTCCCCTTACTTGCCGTTCTCATCCTTCTCGTCCTCCTCCTCAAACATAATCCCTTCACTAGTCCCCCCCTTCTCCACACGCTCTTGCCGTCACTTCCCTTTTAACATAAACCTTCACCTTTGTTCCCTTCTTTTATTCTCGCTCTTCCCTCCTCCTTCTCTACCTGGTTCCTTCTACCTCGCGCTCGCCTCCCACCGCCTGCCCGTGTTTTTCCCCATTCTCTCTCTCCCCCAACTTCCTTCAACACACACGCCCCCTCCCTCCTTTCCCCTCCAAGTCGCCCCCCGCCCATCCCTTTGCCTATTTCACCTTCAACCCTTTTCTCCCTTAGATATAATTGGTACAACTTTCCCTTCACCCTCCCCCTCAACATCCTTCTCATTTCTCCCCTTCCCCTTCCCCCCACTCCTTTCTTTCTCTCCTCCTTTCTGTCTTTCCTTCTACTTCCTCCTCCCCTCCTCCCTCATTTTCTTCACGCCACTGTGCCGCCACCCCTCTGCCTTTCCCCCTTCAACCCCCCCCCCTTGATTCCATCTAACCTTCCCTCGTCCTCCGCCCAATTTTCCTTCTTGCGCCCTCGCACCCACGCCTCTGCCTCCCTTCCAATTCAACCCTCCCCCCGTTTCCTTCTAACTCTACTCCCCCCCTCCCTCCCTCATTTTTCCTTCACCCACTTACTCGTCACCTGCCCCCCTCTGATCCGCTCTTCCCCCTCTCCTCCTTCAAAAATCCTCCTCCTCCTCATTTCCTACAGCACGGATCCGTACCCTCCTTTCGGCTCCCCATCCCTGTCAAAACCCTCTTCTCCCCCCTCTCCTTCCTTCTACCTCCCCTCCTCCTCTCGGCTCCCCCTCCCTTTCAAACCCTCTTCCTCCCCCCTCCCCCATTTCCTTCTACCCAGTCCTCCTCCTCGCCCATTTCCTCCTTCACCCTATTCCTCCCCCCCCCCCCCCCACCGTTTTCCTTCTACTCTCCCCCCCTCGCCCGCATTCCCTTCCACCATCAACCTGCACACCCCCTTCCTCCCCTCCTTCACCGCCATTCCTCTCACCCGTCCCTCGGCCGCGCGGTATCTGTGAAGGTGTAGGCCCAAGGAATGAGTGCGCTGAGAAGGGGCAGCTTGAAGAACTTTCAACTACTCTGCAACTGCCCTCAGCTCGGGAACCCCGCCGCTGTGATGGATGGGGGTGGGTCGCTGTGCGAAACTGCGCTTTGTGGGGGCCTGGGCGTGTGTTGTTGGAGGGTGGTGGGAAGTGTGTCTGGTTGTTGTGGAGACGTTGTTGTGGGTTGTTGTAGAGGGTGTTGTGGGTGTGTGTAGGAGTGTTGGAAGTGTATTCTCTGGTGTTTGTTGTAGTGTATTCTGGGTGTTGCGGAGGGTGTTGTGAAGTGTATTCTGGGTGTTGCGGAGGGTGTTGTGAAGTGTATTCTGGTTGTGTGATGTGAGTGGGTGTTGTGAAGTGTGTGAGGTGTTGTGAAGTGTATTCAGTGGTGCTGTGGAGGGTAGGTGTTGTGGAGAGGGTGTTGTGGAAGTGTAATTCTGAGTGGTGTGGTGGGTTGTTGGAAAAGTGTATTCAGGGTGGATCGGAGGTGTTGTGAAGTGAATCTGAGTAATTTGTGGTAGGGAGGTTGTGAACTGTATTTTGGGTGTTGTGAAGTGGTATTCTGGTATTGTGTAGGTGTTGTGGAGGTGTTCTGGGTGCTGTAGGTGTTGTGAAGTGTATTGGTGGGCAGTGTGTTGTGGAGGGTGTTGTTGAGTGTATTCTAGGTGTTTGAAGGTATAGGGTTGTCGCAGTGTGTGTGGAGTGGTGTAGTGCACTGTTTTGTATAGTGTTAGCAGTATCGTGCAGTGGGTGTTAGGGTGTTGTGGTGTGTTGGGTGCCTATTGTGCCAGAGTGATGTGAAGTCTTTGACCTGGTTATTGTGCAGGGTGTTGTGAAGTGTATTGTAGCGGATATTATAGAAGAGCTTGTGGAGTGTGGTGGACTGCCCAATTTTCAAACGGGTTGTGGAATATGATGTACCAGTTATTGTGCAGTTTCTTTCGCTCTACTGTATAGTGTATTGTGTCGGATTATAATACAGTGTATCTGTAGCGTCTCAGTCACGTGTTAGCAAAAGATATGAAAGAGAATGAATATTCCACAATAGAAGTGATGAATACAACTCTTCTACTGTGGAAGATATCATTCTCATTCATACCTTTCGATACATTAACCACACTGAATAAGGTTCGTCATATTCACCTAAATTCAACGATACAGAACTCGTAGGTAGATAAAGAGATCGTTCGCGTAGTACCGTAGTTCGTGATCTGTGCGTGGGGGGGGGGGGAGGGAGTCGCCGCGTGGGTGGAGATGAACTTTGAACGCGTTTCGTAACGTGTGTGTCTCTTTTCCGTTCGCTTGGGTGTGGGCGTGTGTAGGTGTTTGTGTAGATCACATTTTCTGCTGACTGTCTGCGTGGAAATTTCCAGGGTTGAGAATCCTCCTCTCCCTCTTCTTTTTATCAAACTGTATGTATTGTTTTATTATCTTCGCACACGCACTGCAGCTATGTGAATTAATATATAGATACATAAAAATGTAAATAGGCATATATATAATATATATAGTATTATATATATATATATAATATATATATATATTTCTTTTCTTTTCTTTTCTTTCTTTTTTTTTTTACACACACACACACACACACACACACACACACACACACACACACACACACACCACACACACACACACACACACACACACACACACACACAAACAGACAAATAGACAGAGACCGAAACATAGACATAAACGGACGTATAGAGAGAGGTAGACAGAACGTGTCATCGCATGTACGGACAGACGATCTAAATACGTATGCAAACATGGACGCAGAATCCCATTTAAATACACTCATGTAGATACATGTATATGCATATTCATCCAGACGCATCTACGTGTATAAGGGTCAGATTCCAGTCTTATACCGTGATTTAGTCGACAAGAAGCTCCGAAAAATGTATTGAAAACTACCGATTTGGCTTCTACAAAACCTACGGCCATTTAGCCATTAATTGCAATTCGTAGTCTGCTTAGTTTTCATTTTATAAGAATTATTGTTACCTCTTTGCATCAGTGTTTGAAGACTTACCTCTTTCCTTGCAAGAGAAATGTTGCATGTTGAAACGAAGATACGATATCAAATGGATATAAATATTACTTGATCGCTGGTTTGAAAAATATCTCACGACTTTTTTTTCCTTCTTTCTTTCTTTTTCTTTTTCTCTTTCTTTCCTTTCTAAAGGGGGGTGAGGAAGGGGGAAGGGGTGGCATTCTCATACGTGACGTAATCGAGGTGTTATGGATGCTTGTGCTTTAAGGTGTACTCTATTTCCTAATGATTTTCAGTCAAGGGTTAGGATTGATGCCTGATATATATTTATCATTATAATTCATAATACTTCATATCTGTAGGTTGTTATTGTTATTGTGATAATAATGCTACAAAAATATACAAGAATAATGATTATAATAGTAATAATTATGATGATAATAATAATAACAATAATGATAATGATAATAGTAATGATAATGGGAAATATGATAATAACATTATCATTGTCATTATATTAACATCTTTTTTAATCCCCTCCCCCCTCAACTCTTTCCTCCCTCACATTCACTCTCTCTCCCCTTCCTTTTCCTTTTTATCCACATTTCCCCATCTTTATCATCTTCCCCATCACTCTTAATCATCCATTCTCCCCTCATCTCCTTCCTCTTCCCACTCCCCATCCTCCTCTCCCCTCATTCCCTCACTCCTCAGGAACTTCGACTCACACCCCCCTTTAATATCTGCAAATTGCATATCACGAGATGAATTGTTCCCTCCCACCTCGACAATGTGACGCTGCAGTGTTTGCAACGGCCGCCTGAAGTGCTGCAACTGCTGCATACGGGCGGAGTTTTATTAGTTCCGCGCGATGCAGGACCGATTTGCAGTTCTCCAGATTAGGTACAAGTTGGATGAAGATTCGGCTCGAGTATTAACTTGAGTATTAGCCTCTACGGACTCCTGAAGTCGAGGACGTCCCTCTGAAGTCGTCGACGCTCGGGTATTATGTCTCTGGGCCTTCAGTCGCTCAGTAGGGACCGCGGCCTGATTGGCAGACTTCAACCTGGAGTTTGGTGTTGATGTGACACGATCTTCCTTCTGTGGGTGCGGTGGGGTGGGGAGTTGGGGGGGGGGGGGTATTGGGTGTCTCCTCCTTAGGTCGGCAGCGCTTGCACCGACTCTGTACGATTATTGTTATTATTATTATTATTATTATTATTATTATTATTATTATTATTATTATTATTATTATTATTATTATTATTATTGTTTATTATCATTGTTATTATATTGTTATTATTGTTATTATTATTATTATTATTATTATTATTATTATTATTATTATTATTATTATTATTCTATTATCATCATTATCATTGTTATTATTATCATTATTGTAATTATTATTATTATTATTATTGTTGTTATTCTTATTATCATTATATTATCATTATTATCATTGTTATCATTATTATTATTATCATTGTTATTATTATTGTTATTATTATTATTATTATTATTATTATTATTATTATTATTTATATTATTATTATTATTATCATTGTCATTATTATTATTATTATTATTGTTATTATTATTGTTGTTATTATCATTGTTATTATTATTATTATTATTATTGTCATTGTTATATTTATTATTATTATTATTAGTTATTATTATTATTATTATTAGTAGTAGTAGTAGTAGTAGTAGTAGTAGTAGTATATTTTTATTATTTTTGTTGAGCTATCATTTTCAGTTACTGTTTACACATGTAGACACTGTAATATAAAAAGGCGTTTGTATGTCTGACTCTTTATTCTTCTCCCTCTCACTCCGCTTTCTCTCCTTCCTCCCCTCATTTCTCCTGTCTTCCCTTCCTCTTTCGTTTCGTTTTCTCTCTTCCTTCCGTTGTTCCATTCTAGTTTCCTTTACTTCCATCTTTCCTCTATATCCTTCTTCCTCCATTATCCTTCTCTTTTTCTTCCAATTCTTATCTCCTCACATTTCACCTCTCCTTTTATTTTCCTTTCCCTTTTCTCCACCTCTATCTCCTGTTTTCCCTTCTCTCTCCCTTTCATTCCCTGTTCCTTCCCACCCATCCTCCGTCCTCCCTCTCCCTTCGCCTTTTCTCCTCCTCTCCATATTCCCTTCCCCCTCCCTCTCTTTCCTCGCCCCCAAACCTCTTCTCCCTCCCTCACTTCCCTCCTACTCCCTCCCTCCTTTCCCATCCTCCTTCCCCCTCCACCCTTCCCTCTTCTTCTCACCCTCCACCCCCCTCTCTCCATTCCCCCCTCACTCTCATCTTCTCACTCTCATCCTTCCCTCCCTCCTCCGTCCCCCCTTACTCTCGCCCTTCCCTCCCTCTTCTCTTCCACCCTCTCCTCCCTTACTCTCCCCTTCCCTCCTCTCCCCCTCTCCTTCATCTCCTTTCCCTCCCATCCTCCCCCTGTTAAAACGACAATTATTAATTGGCCATTTCCACCTCCTCACGCACGGGGGGACGGCAGAGTCGGGGAATGTGTTTGAAAAGGGGGAAAGGGGAGGGGGGGGGAGGAGGAAGGTGGGAGGTGGGGGGATGGGGTGGAGGGTGGGAGGAAGGAGAGGGAGGTGGGTGGGGGTGGAAGGAGAGGGGAGGGCGGGAGGAGAGAGAGGGAAGGGAGGAGGGAGAAGGAGGGATGGAGAAGAGAGGAGAAGGGTGGGAGGAGAGAAGGGGAAGAGTGGAGGAGGAGGAACGAGAGGTAAGGGAGGAAGGAGGGTGTTGTGGTNATGAAATTGTGTACAAAGTAACAGTGCATTATAAAAATTTGAAATAGCGATACAAAATTCTAATTATTGTTTTGCTATTTGTAAACATATAATATATAATATAATATATAATTAATATATATATAATATATATATATATATTATATGTGTGTGTGTGTGTGTGGTGTATTGTGTATAATATAAACATGAATAAAAAAGTATTTTGATATTTCGTTCAAAAATAAAATTAATAAATCATTATAATAAATGAATCAGTGAGATTAAACTGAATGAGTAACATATATGGTCAAGAATAGTCTACGCCACCCACCCACCTGCACCTCCACCCCCGAACCCCCCATCCACCCACCCTCTACCACCTCCACCTATCCACCCATCCAACCAATCCACCCATCCACCCTACCACCTCCACCTATCCACCTGTCCACCTATTCACCCTCCACCTACCCACCCATCCACCCTACCCACCTCCCCCATCCCCCTACCCACCTCCCCCATCCACCTATCTACCCAACCCACCCCCCATCCACCCTACACTCCCCCATCCACTATCCACCCTACCCACCTCCACCTATCCACCCATCCACCAAACCCACTCACCTCGATTATTCCCGCAGTCCACCTTCAGGAACACCGACCACTTCTTGCCCATGGGGCGTTGGTCCCTCAGGGTCTCGACAGCCAAGCGGGAATCAACCATCACGTGGAATTGGTTGAGGCGCCTAAGAGAAAAGAGGAATAGTTAATTGTATATAGGCCTATTATGTTAAATTGGTTGAGGCGCCTAAAACCCTGTACAGACGAGCGACTTTAGTGGCGCGACTGCTAGAAGCGTGACTGCCAGGTCAACGGAAGTGAATAGGAGCGCACACACGTAGAGGCTTGTGGCAGGCCTGTGGCGCGACTCGAGATTTTCCTCACAGTCGTCTGACTGCCCAGCTATTCGAGGTACATTTGTTGCTATGCGGCCGCACACACACGGCGACAGCCTCTGCGTTTTCATGGTGATGGCGCGC